TTTTTTTTTTTTTTTTTTTTTGCCAATCCGGTCAAATAATTTTTATGTATAAATTCTAACACTTTTATAAAGCAACTAACCTTTTATGGTTAACGATGTGGGACAAGATGTAAGAATTCCAAATTTCCAATTGTAAAGACAAAGGACTAAAGCCACGCGTAGAAGGAATTTCTTTTCCCTTTTACCTGCGTGTGGAAGAAATTTCTTTCCCCATATCCCATCTTTATTTACTATTAATTTATTGCTCAATGTGGGAGTGTGAGGAAATATTTCTTTTTTCTTTCCATATTTTTGTACTATCATTTTATTGCTTACTCAATATATGGTGGGACCAACCTTTTAGAAAATAAGTTAACTATATTTAATATTTATAAAGTATTATATATTTAAAATATCAATAAATTAAATAACTTAAAAGTTAAGTTAACTATATCTTTAAAATATTATATATATATATATATATTTCAAAATATCAATAAATTAAATAACGGTCCAACCGATTCAACCACTGGTCGGACCAGTGAACCATTGAACCTGATCGATTCGATGACCGGTCCGGTTTTGACAACCTTGATTATTACTTCATCCATGGGAGCAGAGTGTACAACCTATAGTTTCAACCATACATTACTTCTACTTTTCCTTATTTTTTTTTATTCAAAATGACCAAAATACCAAGTCAAAGTTGGAAATTTATAAGAATTTGTAATTTCATGTGCTTTATTGATTTTGGTACGTCAATTTTTGTTTGTGTTTTTATATATCCAGGTATATATGAATCTTTATCCACATAATTAGAAATTTTATAATAAAAATATTGGTTAACACATAACCCAAAACAATAGTGCTACCTTAAGATAGGCTTAACCATTAATCAGCAATTTTTTCTACCTATATGCATATTTACTTATTGAAATATATATTTTTAAATTTTAAAAATAGTATAAAAATACGAAACTTTATAGTATAATTATATTTTTTTATTATGAAAGTACGATAGGTAGAAACGTGAGATAGTTAAGTCTGCTAATACTACCATTGTTTTAAGTATTGTACCGACAATTATATCATACAAGTCACCGATGTGTGGTTCAACCGATTTAACATATTTTACTGCTTACTTTATCGGTTGCAATAAATATCAAGTAAATTTATTTTATATTATAATTGAATCAACGTTAAATTATCGACATAAAAATATAAAAGTATGAACTAAAAAATAAAAAATTCCGTATTTATACCATTTATTTTATTGCTAGTATTTTTTTGTTTAACCGGTATATGAATCAATATTTTGACAGAACTAATATTTTAAGCTACCCAACTGTGCAGATTCCATCAATGGTAATCAGATAATCATAAGGTATTTAAAACAATGAAGAGTACTTGTTGTCTTGAACTAAGATTAATTTCAATCCGCTACGCATCTATTTTATTATTCAAAAAGTCAACATTCATTATTTTATTTTTCTTATTAAACACAAACGAGTACTGTAGGCTTGTTTCGCAACAATAAATGCAG